TGATATTAATAACAAACAAACAAAGACGAAGGCGGATGTTTTAGTGAATACGGAAGTCGATGATTTGTGACTTGTCTCACCAAATTTCCCCGGGTTTTCAACATCTTCATCGGAATATTTACGCAGTGGGCACCGAATCTCCTTGCGCTTCAGAAAGTCCACTGGGTTAGACCAAGTAAACGAGTAGAAGTTGAAATACTGCATATGGTCTGTTAAGACAGGCGCACTGTGAACGTATGCAAGCATATTAGAAATCCGTCGCAAGTACACTGTCGCCGACCCATCATTCTGGTTTGTCATTATCCTACCAAAGAGGGAGAACGGCTAGACAAGAAGCACTTAAACAGTCTTTGGAAAAACTTTGCTTCTTATCGACCTCGCTTTTGGGAGGAACTTGTATCCGGACGGACTGCTTACCGTGTCCTATGCAGTGGGCTGCGAAATGTACCCCCTCCCCGGAAGGCTCCTGGTAACCAATCACCGAATGTAAGGTAGAAGATCGATAGAGAAGTGCTCACAGAGAACATTGCATTGCATAACTTTTCAAGACAACAACAAATTGTGTTGAAATAAATGAGGAAAATGCTAGGGTGGTCACTCCTTGACATAGGTCTCTATCCGTTTGGTTAGGCGCTCGGCCACTGAAGGAAAAAGGGGGAAAAGCGAGAATTCTGGAGAGAAAGGAAGACTAATCTTACGGATTTTAATGACATCAGCTAATTTCTCGCCGAGACCGTCCTTTTCCAGATATTCTTCGATTCGTTGTTTGACCCGATCTGCACATTTTTTCGCAGCACTCATAATTGCGCCCCATAGCTTCTGGCCGGATTCTCGCTAAAACGACAGAATCAGTGAGGAACAGAGCGTTACCAGTTTGGCACGGGTCTCCTCATTCGGACGGGCTCTGTAATTGAGGAGTCAGAAGTTCAACCGCTCAACTTACTCAGCGTGAGCGACAAACAGAACAAAGACCAAGCAGATGAAAACAGTGAGTCTCATGTTTCGGTGCAGCTGCGTGACAACTGAAGTCGGTGACTATCCCGGATCGCGATGAATTCAATTTATACCCATATACATGTTGAAAAAAGGTCGCATGAAAAAAATCCACACGCGTCAAAGTGACGATTTGGCAGTCATCTGTCGGTGCTCATAGCAAATAAACAACGTACGGGACACATTACAACAACCGGACCTGTTTCTACCTTCTTAACGCAGTAGTCTAAAGTTCACAATTAATAGAATATCACAGGTGTTTACTTGTTGGCGGTTCGGTCTTATACTTTACGTATACACAATTTTTTGACTGTCCAGTATTTCAAACTCACTTCTACAGTAATTCGAACTGCACGTATAACAATTTACCTGGTCGAATGCCGTTGCCTGTTTACATTAGAAATGAATGCAGGTCAATGTCATTTTGATGTGAATGGGCCTGGTACAATTGTGAGGTAGTTGCCCCACAAGACAAGAATTATCGATCTGGATGGAAGTTGCATTGAGCACGTTTTTAAACTTCGTCAGGTGTTAGAGTAGTGCCATTAATATACAATCTTAAAGTTTAAGGTGGACCATGAATTCAATGTTGCAAGTCCTACAGCATACCATGACTGCTCCGCAGTACGCGATCCGGGGATTCCTGAGCCCCATTCGGCGAAATCATTCACTAGTGTTTCAACCATGGTGTCGCTGTGTTCGACAACGAAGACGACGATGATGATGTCTTCGACGATATTGGTGAACGTGTGTGTGAAGAGTCTACCAAGAGCTTCCCACAGGAAGGGGTATCCAAATCACATCAGTTCAAGATTACTGCACCTGTCTGGTAAAGTCAATGCAAGAATCTCAAAGGCTCGAATCGCGTTTGATAATTTGCGTCACGTGTGACGTCAAAAAGACATCTTAAGGGTCGTGTTTACCAGGCTACAGTAAGGGCTGTGTTGTTGTGTGTGTGCAAGACTGACTTCTACACACAGAGGATGTGAGGTGTCTTCAGGTTTTCGACCACCGATGCCTCAGAAGAGTGGCTGGTTTTTTTATGGTTGGTAAGTAGGTGATTAGAGAACGGGTATTTGGTTGTGCGGCACGTACTTCAATCCAGGAAAACATCCAGCACCACCGACTACGATGGCTCGGTTATGTGCCACGCACGCCAAAACACGGTCTACCGAGACGAGCGTTCTTCTCCGTGCCTTCTTTAGAATGGCGCAAACCGCGAGGTGGACATTGGGTGACTTGACAGAAAGGCATGAAAGAGATCGCAAAGAGCTTGGGTGTTGTTAGTGTTGTAGGCCTTCCAGGATGGGCTCTCCGTGACCCCGTCGGTGCTTGGCTGGAAACGTTGCAAGAAATGCCAGCTAATCGATGTCAATGGCGTTCGTGCTATCATTTTCTTTCCAGAGTGTTTAATTGAGCGGTTGGGGGTGTAGGCACCTCAAACTGCTTGACACAGGCCAGCACTGAGTCCCTTCCCGCACACATTCTTTTTCTCTTCTTTTCACCCTAGGTCTTTTAAAATAGTTAAATATATATATATATTTATGTGTATAAACGATGGGATGGTGATGGGGGATGACTGCACCCTCCGTTCATCGAACGCATATTCTCTTCATGCCTGTTCAACTTCGCCCCTCATAAAATGCCGAATCGAAAGCTGAAACGTCCCATAGATTCGGTGTTCAGATAGCTGCTGATGGGAAACTTGTTGGCCTGGTGCAGGTAGAGTACAACTTTGCACTGTGAGAGGACAAATTGGAAGCAAGCGAGCTATCAGATAGCATCCTGAAGCAAAGAAACAATTCGGAGCGAATGGACTTTGAATAGGCTTCTTGAAGATTTATGGGCGATCGTTTCACTAGGCTTCGCGGAGGTTCGCCCTGTGAAGTAATGGGCCTTGATCAAGTTCGATGATCTACGTCGCTTCTGACTTGAAGACGCGTATTACCGGGTCTTCGGAGTCACGTATACCAAGTCGCAAAACGAACTGTTTTCTTTCAATTGGAAAATGTTTGGGACCGATTGGGAAGTCATCGTTTCATAGGGGTTTGGTGAACAATAAATCCACCAATCGTTTACCAAACCCCTCTGAAAAGAAGACTGTTTTCGTATATGGTATCTGATCATGAATGGTCTGAACGTCTTTATTTCTTCCTGTCTCAGAAACTTTTCTGTCTCTCCAGCGGCATAAATGAATTCGTAACGCGACATACGGACGTTCGTCAGGTGATACCTTGGCGGAAAGCACCGTGATGGCATTCAGGGAGCTGCTGCCCTTTACACCTGTTCCAAGACAGTCGGGTTGGTATGTAATGGGCTTGGAAAAAAGATGACAGAATGAGTGAGATGCTGGAAGGTGCCTGGTCTTTCAGAACTGGATTCTGTTCCTGGGTGAGATTATAAATATCGCGCCTATTCAATACCAGTGATGCTGGAGCTGTCAAATTTGGTCCAGATTGTCTGAGTTGACTCTTCAACTTTCAGGCATATCAACATGTTCGTAGTATATCAGTGAAAGGAAGAAAGCCTTCGCTCCAAAGTTATCTATTGGAAAATGCCAACTGAACAGTAACAGACTATTGGACGGGAAAGCAAAACTCTCATGTGCATCTTAATTAAGAAAACTGGACATCCATCTTCTCTTGAACGCATCTTCCTGAACTTTGATGGATATCCATTGAGCGTTGCTCACGTCCAAACCAATGCTACAAAGCAACTCCACAAATCCGCAATAAATATCCCTTTTCAAGCGAATTTACAAGAAGAAAACATACTACTCGCATGCCTCCTCATCAGTAATATCACCGTTATATCAGTATCCGGTATTTGAAAAATGCGACTGAGTACGCAATATGCTGTTGTCTAGACGTAACACACTACTCATGAGATTGCTGAAAACTGTTTGACAGTCCACGATCGGTTTTACCCCATCTTGGGGGAAGGGGTTCATCAGATGCGTGGAGTCCTGGAGTTTCCGTCGACATTATGTTCGTCTTGAACCCAAATCGGACAGACTTCGATAAATACTATCATTCGCGTATCAATACGTTTGGTTAGGAGTAATCCAAAGCGGTTTATTCCAATGGGACAGTGTACTGTGAATTCAGTAGTATCGTGCCAACCGAAACACGATGCGGCCTTGTGCAGCACGTTTAGTTGATAACTACCACAAAAGATGGATTCAGGTGGGATTTTGTTAACTGCCCCGTCGGAACCAATTTGGTTTGCGGGTATGTGGTTTTCCGGAGCCTTGTACAAGTTGAGTCGATCTACTGAGAGAAAGTCGGGGATTTAGTTTACCTGAAGAGCCCGAAGAACGCTGAAGTCCATCGTGGGCCGTCGAGGAATCACCAGTAAAGGTAGTGTGTTCCATCAGGACAACCGAATAAGCTTCGTATGGTTTAGTGCGATGCCATGGAAACTTTCAACGTGAAATGTACCTTTCAGACTGAAATGAGAGAGCAGCCGGACTCATTCAAACCCTCGGTAACGGACACAGTAAGCGAAACCACATAGTCAACCTTTTGTGTCTTTTATGGCCAAAAGCTCTGCCCATAGGTTTATTCTAAGATTGATTTGACGGTATGTCGTTGACATGACAGTTCTGTGGCAGTCCACCACCGTTTTCGACCATCTTGGAGCCAATCAGTCGGTCACATTCCCTGAGTTTCCGGCAAGCTCATGTTCTACTTGAACCGAGATGGCACGAAATTTGACAAATACACTGATCTATGTATCGATCTGGTTTTCACAGGGAACTCAACCAAATTTACCGTTTACGATATTCCTCAACAGTATGTGCTGCACACAGGCCATCTCACGCTTCAGTTGGTACGAGATATCGCGGCATCTTTTTTCATAAGTGTGCTGAAAACTGTTCGAGAGCCCACTACCTGTTTCGCCCTTCCGGTTTGGGCTCTTCAGGTAGACGCAATCCCCGACAACCTTATGTTTCACTTCGTGATATCTTTAAACTGAATGCGCCGCACTAAGGCCACTCCATGTTTTATTTGGCGCACTTTTCGAGATATCGATGGGTTTCCAGTGACCTTATGAGTCATGCTGATCACGTGAAGAGTATGTACTCCAGAATCTCAAACGTCGTATCCACTGAAACAGGAAGCAGTGTACATATCAGTTGAAAAGTACCATAAGTGAGAGACCTGGAGGTGAGATTCACTCTAGTCGTCTGCAACACAGACTTAAATTTCAAACGAGTTCACTTCGTCAATTTCATAGCATTTTTGACCTAGTTTGAAGGTGCATGCTACTGATGAAACATATGAGTAGTGTTGGTCAAAGTCAAAATAGAGTCCCCACATCTGATGGAAGGTTGGTGCGGAAATTCTGAAAACGCGTTTCAGGGCTTATTCATTTTTGTTTAACCCCCAAGGAATACCCAGGAAAGTTCAAAATGATCCTGAGAACGTCCAATTTACAAATTGAGGTTTTTACTTTATCGCTTAACAACATGTTACCGCCTTGTTCCTGTTGGGCGGTTAACAACTTATCACTGAAGAGGGTTTTTCTTTCCAGCTCCACGGACCAACCAGGTCTGTCAGATAACATTAGCTGCATGATTTCTAACCAGTCATGTGGGGATTCATTGCGAGACAAACCGAATAGACATATAGCATAATCGATCGTCATAACTAGGACAGTTCGTAAAGAAAAAACCGCCGTTCAGCTGTAGCACCCTTTAGGTGTCTAACTGCTATGCCACAGGAGTGAAGCATGGGTGCTGGGATACTGCAGGTTGCCAAGGCCTAGACAGAGAAATTCGAGTGGTAGAGGTCGGATTCGAACCACGGGCTCTTACCACTGACCTCTCTGTCCTTGAACCAACTTAGTTACTGAGTCATCGTTCAAGGAGTCGGGCAAACTAATCGCTCAACCGTGAAAACTTTCAACTGTTCAGACGTGAAAATTCAGGGAAATCCAGGGTGCACTGTTGGAGTGGTGATAATACGCCTGCCTTGAGTGATACAATAAGTGCTCATCGGCTCATCTGAGCAGCAATTTTACAGTTGGCAGGTTACCTGATCGTTTCCCTGCATCTGCTTGCCTTGTGGTTGTCACAGTCTACCTCCCTTGGCTTCACACCAAATATCGTTCAGCTGAAGCACCCTTTCGGTGTCAAACTGCCATGCCGCCAGAGAGAAGCACAAGGGCAAGGATACTGCCAGGTTGCCCAAGCCTAGACAGGGGAAGTCGAGAGCCGGAGGTCAGGTTCGAGTCACGGACCTTTCGGTCAGTAAATTTGCGCTCTAACCCCTTGGACCATCTCACGCTTCACACAAAACACGTCTTTTGTGGACCGAAATAAGCTGAAATGAACATGAATGAACCTAAGTAGCACGGAGCAATTAAACCGCACAACGAGAAAGGCCACAATAAGCTGGATTAAAGCGATGCATTGAGGAGTTACTGTGATATATTTGAACGAAGTACCACAGTCATAAATGATCTTTGGTGTTGTAGGAACATGTGATCCGAAGTCACTGTTCACCGCAGTGGTGAACCACCTATGCGCACGTTTAAAGCACATAAACAGTAAAGATTGTCAACCGCGATTCCTCCCGGTGAAAAGCCAGGAACCACTGTCCGGCCGTCTTAACCTTTTTGGGAGCCATCAGTAGTGTGCACGTCACGAAACTCCATTTGGACCTAGCGAACCTCCTGGCTTGTAGTTTGAACAGTTAACCACGAACGGCTGATCAGCTGTGTGAGGCACTTGTGAAATGGAGGTACGGAACACGGACTTGGTTGTCCTGCAACGGTACACCCAGACAATCTCGACAGAAGCTCATCTGATCAAGAAAACTGTATTCGTATTTCCAAGCTAGGGTTTTAATCAGTCCTAGCGGAGATTATTCAAGCCACAGGATGCTTGTCTGATCATGAATATCACTCATTTAATACACCGGTTGTATTCTAGTTAAACAATCTGGAGGGCTAGATGTTTGAAATGGTTCCACGGTGATCACGAAAGAACGAGTGCAATCAGAATTGAAATGGCTATTGGGACTTTTTTGAAAATGTATGTGAGCCCCAGAGAAACACGTATTCTGGCAACCGGAAAGACAACCATGCCTTGAAAGATGAGGTTCAGAGTTCGAGTCCCAGCGCGATCGAGGGAGTACTTTGCAGGTAAACATGAATACAACCCCTATCACTAGACCAACACCTGCCCTAGTTTGCTTAAAATACGCTTTACTTTTACAGTATAACTAAAACGAAGTAGCAAATTAACAGCACAAAACCGACTTATCAAAAAGTGCCCTTCCCCAAAAGTCCAAATAAAAAGTATCTGACTTGGAAACAGGTACGGATTAGGTGAAAAGGTAACATGGGAATAAAAAAAAGCACAGATCGTGTCAGTTTTTCGCAACAAATGTTCGATTCCTTTTTGTACTTAATCGTCCGTGTAGTCCTCAATACGTTTCTTCAGACGTTCTATGACTATTGAGCCAGAATGAACCGGTAACACTCGGGAAGAACTTACAAATTTCCACGACCGCAGCTAACTTCTCCCCCAGATTGTCTCTTTCCATATATTTTATGAATTTCTCTTTGCATTTTTCGTACATCTTTAGCATGGCCATCCGTACTGTTTCCATCAGTTTCATTCCGCTTTCACGCTACACACGTGTACACAAACGCCATGACAACGGGGAACGGAATCAAACCTACCAACTTTTTCTTGGCATCTGTTTCTGGCCTGGCCCTGAAAATCACCGGCGGTTATCTTTAAGAAGTTACTTACTCGGCATATGCCATGATAAGCAGAAGTGCTGTGAGGCACACGAGGATAAAACCACGCATTCTTGAAGAAATCTGATCAGACCTAAGGATGTCATGTCTGATTCTGGCGCGAATCGTATTTATACGAGTGAGCCCTTTCGTTCTGTTCGCTGTTAGTGGACGAAAACGGGCTGTGCGCTTGTTCGGGATGGTGAGACGGATGGTCCAGTCCGGATCTAGACGAACCCGTCAATCGTCTCCAGGTCTGGCGACAATCGTTCGGTGACCCAGATTCAACCAATTAATTGGTTTGTAACCAGACATGATCGGATCAAATCTAAGCATTTTGTTCACAGTTTTAACGATGCATTGCATAAAGCCACTTTATATGAGACCCTCCCTTTTGGAAATCTCACACTCCTTCAAAAAGTAAATAAAAGTATCGTTTACGGAAGAAATTACCGGTTCCCGAAGACTGTATTAGTTTCGTGTCCAATTCAGGGTGTACGAGGCTGGTCAAAACTTGACTTGGCAGGTGGGTTGGCAAGAAGTGACGAAACGCGTCACCTTCCAGGATGGGATGCGCGGAACCCCTTGTGTTTAGTTGGGGATAGGTCCGCTAATCGATATCAATGGCGTTCTTGTTGTCAAGTTCTATCCTGAATGAGTGTCTGGAGGTTTGGACATCTTGAAATGATTGTAGTAAGCTAGCACTAACTCCCTTCCTCATCTACTTTTAATGAAAGGAAGAAGGCCTTCACTGCGGAGTTAGTTATTAGAAAATGCCAACTGACAGGTTACAGATTACTGGACAGGAAAGCAAAACTCTCATTTGCATCTTATTTACAAAAACTGGACACCGATCTTCTCCTGAACGCATCTTCTGAAACTTTCCTGGATATTCATTGACTCCAACCATTCAATGCTCAAATCCAAGCAAGGGTTACAAAGCGACTCCACGAATTCCGCAACAGATCTCCCAACTTTTAAAGAGACGCAAAGCGAGATTTCAAGAACAAAACATACTACTTGCATGCTTCTTCTTATTCAAGCTGAGGCTTCCGAATAAATCATGATTGTATGGCAACGAAGCGTTAGTGTTTTACGCTGATGTCATGTTGTCAAAGATGATGAGAAGTCATTGAAAACTGCTCAACTGTGTAAGGGATGTGATGCAACGTACGACTTTAAAGAGATTAAGCCAACTGATCCTCGAGGTATATTTCACTGATGCGCTCCCTTCAGTGAAGACAGCCTCAGAGGAAACGTCTTTGAGGTTTGCGGGAAAGTTTCAACTAGGCTTTCATCTGCGACCGCGGCGAAGTTATCGTAATCTTCCTGGAAGTATGGGAAGGCTCTGGGCGCCTACTCTGTGTTTTCCACAAGGTCACTTACTGGCAGTGTCCTATAAAAACTCCAAGAAGACCAAACCGATTTGCGTCAAATTCGGATTTCCCTCACTATTCAACGTAGAATTGTCAGTTTTGGCGGTAATTTCGTTTTATTTTCAATTGCACATTCCCAAGTCTATGCATTTTATGGACTCATAGTGATTGATCCAAATGTTGTGTAGTGTCTTCTGTGTCGATAGCTTGGCACGTTTATTTCTTTTCTCCTGGAAAAAACAATATTTACACTTGAACATTGCGATAATTTGTAGCGACTGCCGAGTTATTTGGGCTACGAGCAAACCGTTGAGGGCGTCGTCGAAAACCACACAGCTCTACGGAACGGTGCTCCTCATGGACGATTAAGGGGATGCAAACAAGTCTGGAAATTTTCAGCAATCTTATGAGTAGTAGGTTACGTCTAGACCGGTGTGAAACCAGTTTTACTTTTGTTCAAGTTGTGATCTTCAGGAAATGAGAGTCCCTGCTAACACCTGTAGCCGATTCGGAGGAGCACGTGGATGAGAATGGTAGAATCGCAGTCAAAACCAAGAACTTAGGTAGATAGATAGACAGACAGACAGATAGATAGATAGATAGATAGATAGATAGATAGATAGATAGATAGATAGATAGATAGATAGATAGATAGATAGATAGATAGATAGATAGATAGATAGATAGATAGATAGATAGATAGATAGATAGATAGATAGATAGATAGATAGATAGATAGATAGATAGATAGATAGATAGATAGATAGATAGATAGATAGATAGATAGATAGATAGATAGATAGATAGATAGATAGATAGATAGATAGATAGATAGATAGATAGATAGATAGATAGATAGATAGATAGATAGATAGATAGATAGATAGATAGATAGATAGATAGATAGATAGATAGATAGATAGATAGATAGATAGATAGATAGATAGATAGATAGATAGATAGATAGATAGATAGATAGATAGATAGATAGATAGATAGATAGATAGATAGATAGATAGATAGATAGATAGATAGATAGATAGATAGATAGATAGATAGATAGATAGATAGATAGATAGATAGATAGATAGATAGATAGATAGATAGATAGATAGATAGATAGATAGATAGATAGATAGATAGATAGATAGATAGATAGATAGATAGATAGATAGATAGATAGATAGATAGATAGATAGATAGATAGATAGATAGATAGATAGATAGATAGATAGATAGATAGATAGATAGATAGATAGATAGATAGATAGATAGATAGATAGATAGATAGATAGATAGATAGATAGATAGATAGATAGATAGATAGATAGATAGATAGATAGATAGATAGATAGATAGATAGATAGATAGATAGATAGATAGATAGATAGATAGATAGATAGATAGATAGATAGATAGATAGATAGATAGATAGATAGATAGATAGATAGATAGATAGATAGATAGATAGATAGATAGATAGATAAATAAATTGAGAGATGAACCACCAATACCGCTTACAAAACTGATACTTCGGGCATCATCGCCTGTTCACAGAATTTGCGGTGACAGAATTAGGAACACTTGTCTAGTGAATGATCCGATATGGTGTGATGAGGGAAGGCCACGGTCCATTTGAACAGTCTAAACAATTCACTACCCGCGTTTGTTTACCCATCACCGCATAAACAGCGGATGTTTACATCCTGACCGACGTGGTTTAAACACCGAGCCGCAGACCGTGAGACCGAACCGCATCAGACGAGCCGACCTAGGGTGGATCACTGAGATATTTCCGCAAGACTGTGTGATTTGTCAACACGCTTAATTTGATGGAGTAAATACGAATCGGAAACTAGGGTATCCGACGGACGTTGTGAGATTTCAAGGCCATCTTGCGTACAAAGAAACCAGAGGTGACGATGTGCGCAAATGTGGACTTTTCGACGGCGAGGTTGATCACGATCAGAGAGACCGGAGCATCACAGAGGCACTGATGTCCATGTCGAAAGAAGTCCGGAAGCACATGCCATTGGTCATTCTTGAAAATTGTTACACTAAAACGGTGATGAGACGTGAATAAGGGAACATCAAGATGCCAGTCAAATTCGCGAACTTCCGCCTGGACAACCCGTGATTGATTCTCTGCGTGGGTGCCTTTCAATGGATGCTCGCAGTCCATCTTGAGTTCCATTTTTCGATATTTAAACATAAAATTGTAATTTTAATCGACAAGTTTCTTCTTCACGGTGAATTAGGTTTTTGGGAGTAGCAATTTAAAAGCAGACGTAATGTGCGTTTCAACAGTTGATTGGTACTGGGGCTTCAGTCATTTGTTGGTTTGCGAGTGCCAGCTGGTTCATGTCATTCCTTAATCCAAGCCTCTGGATTTAGATTTATTATCGCAACATCCTTGGTGAGGCATCTTTGCAGTTAAGGGTGGTGTCATTGAGCATCTCGAGGCTTTATTTGTACAAGTATTCAGGAAATCAAAATAATTACTCTCAAAATACTACCACTGTAACGGTGGGTACTACTGATGGGCCACGCGAGTAGTGTTTTATCGTAAATCCGCTCCGCGTCTCTTGAAAATTGAGACCTATTACGGAATTTGTGGAGTCGCTTTGTAGCATTCGCTTGCATTTGAGTAGCAGTCAATGAATATCCAGAAAAGTTCAGGAAAACGCATTCAAAGCGAAGATGGATATTTGATTTTTGTAAACGAGATGCATATGAGAGTTTTGCTTCCCTGTCCCATGGTCCGTATCTGTTCAGTTGGTGTTTTCTAACAAACAACTCCGCGACGGAGACCTTCTTCCTTTCAACACAACCCTATTCGTCATTTTGGTTTCATCAGATAGGCGAGCTCCAGAGTGTCCATTTATCACAATTGATGTCCATCAAAAGACTTTCAGTGTTTGACCATCGATGTATTCGGAGCATTGCCCGAATCTGGTGGGAACACCGGATCAGCCATTCTGAAGTACGTCGAATGGTATTCGGGAGAAATAACTCACCCTCGATAGATGAACTGATCACACTGCTCGGGTTGCGCTGGCTTGGCCACGTGCTGCGTATGCCAGTCGACCGACTTCCTCGAAGGGTTATTTTCGCACAACCACGTGAAGGGTGGAAGAGAGCCAGAGGCTGTCAAACAATGACTTGGCAGCGAGGTACAAAAGCCACTACCAGCAAACTCAGCTGCACTAGTCACTGCAATCTTCCTGGATGGGGATCCAGAGACGGGCCACATGAATAGCTAGAGACACTGTCAGACTTGGCCCAGTCGCGCCCTCAATGTCGCTCATGCATCCAAGCTATTGCCTTCAATGCATAGCTCCTTTTCCAACCCCACACTTGACTGCCCACTGACAGTGCTGGGTTTATGCACCAATTTACCAGCTCGCGCGTGCAATGCGCAGCTACCTACCCCTCCCCCCAAACCATCGGTGAACGAAGCTGTGACATCTACAACCACTGTACGACAAATAGGCGGTTCTTACAGCTGACAATGATGATGATGACAATTGATGTCATTTACAACGGTGTGTCATAGGTATACACCCCTTCCATTTCTAACAGCATTTTTGGTAATAATAGTGTCTCATCGACTACCACCCCCCCACCGTCAAGAGTGCGACTATCCCTCACTTGTGCGCGTGGGAAGTGCCAAAGGCCAGGGTAACTCTCTGTTAAGCTCGGTTCCCCCGCCTCATCCCCATATTCTCCCACCGCATTGAATGTGCAGATTTGGTGTGCTGGAACGAGTAAAATACTGCCACTTTCGGCATTTTGCATACGGGATGAGCTGTTTTTCAAGCGGCGGGTTCATGTTCGGAGTGTGACTGTGACTGCTTCAGTTATTCACGACGGGCACACTTCAGGAATTCCGAGCTCCCCATGTCGTCTCTTGGTTTCCTATTCGTCAGCTTCTGTCACTAAGTGAATTGGTTGTAATCCCACTAATTGACCTTGTCTGTGTGACCACATAGACAAGGTAACTTAACCTAAATTTTACCATTGTCGTCTCGTGTGGCGTGCGAAATGTTGTGGACCACAGCCGCTTATTGTCTTCTTATTACCGTGAACCCTGGTCTGGATAGCCGCTTGATCGCCTGATGCGCTTGGCCAAACCAGAAAGAGTCAACGAACGTGCGAACCGGCAGATCTATTGATCACTGTCTTGTACAACGGGTAAAAAGAGTGATACTAGGAATACAACTCATCTGTCAGGGACGAGTGAAGAACAACCAACGAAATCTGTTTCAACGAAAACGGTTATTTTATTGGCAGTTATGTAGTCCTGTTACGTTCGGAGCTGGTTCTCTTAATACAAATGAGGCGCCAAATGGTCAGAACCGATTCCCAAACCGGAATAGGGATTCATCATCATCATATCCCCCATAATGATCACTGCCATCATCATCAATGTCATCTTTATCTTCAGCTGTAAAGACAGCTTTCTTGCCGTATAGTGCCTACAGCTGACGCAGTTTCCTTAGTCGATGATGGTGGGGTGGGTAGCTACCCTTTCGAAGCGGTATCCGATATAATTTATGCGTAAATATAGGAAGTTTGGTTGGCGAGCCATGTATTTAAGCTAATAACTCAGATGAATGGGCGCCAATAAGGGCGTGACTAGACTGTGTCTGACAGTATCTCTAACCATCGCTATTCCCTGTCTTGGGTTCCCAAGCCAAGGAGACGGCAGCGACCGATGGAGCAGAAGTTGCTGATACTGACTTCCATATTTCGTTGCCACGTTATGGTTTTACCTCCCCTGACTGTGTGAAAAGAGCTGTTCAAGGAACTCGGCCAACTTGTATGCGGAACACTTGACCAAGCCGGCGCAACCTAAAGGGTGTTATCAGTTCATCTTCGACGTACCGAAGGTTGGACAAAATCTCCTTAAAAAATTCTCAAATGTTTTCCCACTACCAGCAAATTATAAGTAGCTCAGAGGAAGAAAAAGAAATTGAGCTGACTAGTGACACCTCCAGCTGAGAAGCTATCACCCGAATAGTCAACCAACACATGTGACCACCCGATGTGGAGTCCGGAGAGGAGCAATGCCCCGTCTAACTGCAAGTTTCTCACAACGGTGACCAGCCACCAAATGCCGGACTATTCAAACCAGCAGTCCGGCAGTTGCGGTTCGAGACTTCCCGGAGATTAGCTTCACTTACAGCACAAAATTCAATACCTTGAAGAGCCCTTCTGGAGAGACCTTTCGAAATGTTCAAATCACAACATAGGCGTTGTAAATCGTATCGTAAATCGGCTGGTGTTCATTGAACAAGATGTCCATCCTTCGTAAATTTTTGACGAGAGAGGGTTAAACTTGCTTCATCGCGATAGATGTACCGGGAAGACGCTTTAATGCTGGATCAACGAAAAGGTGTTGAGAGGCCCAAAAACAAATAATAACATACCCTAGACGTACACGCTAAAACTTGTCGTGTCTCGTCTACAATTAGCCATAACATTCAGGTTTGTTCATGCATTCTTACAGTGTCTCATTACCACGGCCAACATTTTGTCCCGTAACGGGGAACAAAAGCGTCGAGAACCACAATATAAATACGGGTCGCTTTCGAATCAGATGTGGCAACCTAGGCGGCATCAGATCGTCGAAATATGCGTGGCTTCGCCATTCTATGTCTTGTCGTTTTTCTGTTCGTGGCCTATTGTGAGTAAGTAACCCACGTTTTTCGAACATGTTATCGAACGACACGTGACTTGCAGGGCCAGGCCGGAGGCTGAGACCAATCAAAAGCTGGTAAGTTTGATTCGATTGGACTTCTCCATGAAACCTATCTACCCTTAGCGCGAAAGTGGTGTGAAACTGATTGGCACAATGCGAACGGCCATGATGAAAATGTACGAAAAAGGGAAAAGCCGATTTATGGCGTATATGGAGAGGGATAATTTAGGAGAGAAGATAGCTGCGGTCCTGGAAATTCGTAAGTCCTTTTCCGTTCATTAAAGATTCATTCTCGACAGTGATGCAACGTTTGACGAAGCGTATCGAAGGTTACTTGGGTGAATAGCCCCCTCAGCCTTTGTTTTTTTTTCAACCATGCGTTTTTGTCACCACTTGAGCAATCCGTACCTGTTCCTACGGCCTCTGTTGGACTTCTCCTTGTGGTTTTGGGATTCCGAGTCTTGGTCACACGATTCAGCCATGGGGCGTACTTAAAGGCAGTTGGGTTTGGACCCTTTTAGACGTTGGCTCTGTTGTCGCTCATATCCCCTCATAGAGGACGACGATATTTTGAGGTTCAAGGTGCACCTAACGCCTGGTTTTGAAAGTTTTTCCTTCCTTTCCATCCTTGGAATGTGAGGCATTATCCAGACGGATGCTGGTAACCAAATTCAAGTTAGAACCCGGGTTATCAGAAACTACAACGGTGTTCATTCGGCCACAAGCACCACCATATACACACCAAGGGTGCAGTTGTGTACGCTACTTATGGGAGCTATTAGTAGTATCAGTTTGCGATTTGAAAGGCCACCTATTCGATTAGCCGCTATCTGGTTTGAAAATTATTAGCTTTTTTCAGTGCGTTCTTCGGTTTCTTCAAACATTCAAACAATCATGCGAAAAGCTCAGAAGTACGTCCAAGAACCGCATGCAGATAGATCTTCTGCCTTCGTATCCAGGTTTGTCTCAGATTAAGTGATTCCACGTCCTTTTCATGTGGGGAAGTTGGACGATGATGGCCGAATTCGTATTAAGTGATTCCACGTCCTTTTCGTGTGGGTGGGACGGATAGCCTGGGGAAGTTGGACGATGATGGCCGAATTCTCTGAAAATGTGTCGTTTTTAAAGTTGAGACTTATATGGGTGCTAATTCCAGTCTTTCTGCGGTTTCTCGGTAAAAGTGGTTTCTTCAAGTTTAAAAATGCAAAACGTTTTTCCCAATGTGGAAGACCACCCAAGCTCTCTGTTGTCCAGACTAAATCCACAGTCGTAAATAGGCCGGATACGGACTTTTATACGGAAACTGGCGTTCGGTAACCAAATGATCACTCAATTTCACGAGTCGTAAAAACACACTCGGGACTGATAAGTGTACAAACATTCTTCGGTGCTGAGTTAGACATATATTAATACACATAGTCCGTGATTATGTTGGATGTGATTTATTTTAGTGTACCTGGCAAACTTGATCAGAAAGCAAGGCGGCAGATCATATTGATTTTCCTGCTATTGACCCATATCTATAAAGTCAAGAAACATCCCTGCTGTTTGCCCTTCTGGACCTCATCGGGATGAGATCTGTTGCCCAATTCATCTCGAATCGTAACACGATCGGAGCAGCAACAGGGTTTTAACATACCTTAAAAGCTATAGAAAATAAGGCGTATCGAACGCAACGTCTGGAATACGTCCAATCCGCTCGATTGATTCGTTCAGCTACTTAATTATTATAAGTAGTTCGCTTGGTATCAGGAAATCGCCAGCATGATCCGCGAACCCGTGCCCCGTAGAACGAGTGGGACACCGAAAATTCGACAGGATAATATTCATGAGTTAATGTACTGCATGGTTCCGTTGCCGTACCATGCTGTTCTCTGTAGAAGGAGCAGACGCCAAAAGTCCAACGCAGGATTATTCAAAGAATAGCGATCCCTTCATTATGTAGAAAATGGAACTTCGTAGTGAAAAAGCTAAAATTTAGGCTTCTTGCTGAATAACAGATTGGGATGTTACGAATACACTTAAATTAGACAGACCACCAGGGTATCAAACAAACTTTCCAGCAGTAGCAACTGTTATGCGAAACTTTCCAGCAGTAGCAACTGTTAGGCGAAAGGCAAAGTAGAATTTGGGGCAAAACTTGCAACGTTATTAGATGGTATTATAATAGTTGCAACTGAGTATAACTACCGGCTTCAGAACCTTGGTGACCGAGGAAGTCCGTCTTTAAGAGTGAGCATGAATGTTCACTGCGAACCAATAAGTGCGTAATCACAGGAAGTATCTGGGTACTTAAGGCACACTTTTGACCTTGAATCGAGGCTGTACAATCGATTTTGAGCGACCGGTTGGCAAGGCTTTTAGGTCAGCCCTGAAAAATGGAACTTCGTAGTGAAAAAGCCAAAATTTAGGCTTCTTGCTGAATAACAGATTGGGATGTTACGAATACACTTAAATTGGACAGACGAGCCCCACCAGGGTACCAAACAACCTTTCCAGCAGTAGCAACTGTTAGGCGAAAGGCAAAGTAGAATTTGGGGCAAAACTTGCAACGTTATTAGATGGTATTATAATAGTTGCAACTGAGTATAACTACCGGCTTCAGAACCTTGGTGACCGAGGAAGTCCGTCTTTAAGAGTGAGCATGAATGTTCACTGCGAACCAATAAGTGCGTAATCACAGGAAGTATCTGGGTACTTAAGGCACACTTTTGACCTTGAATCGAGGCTGTACATACAATCGATAGCGACCGGTTGGCAAGGCTTTTAGGTCAGCCCTGAGCAGCCGTTGCTGATAGGTTGCTTAGACGTCCAATCGATAACTGGCTGTTTCGACCCACCGGCCTTCCTGAAGCAATTTTGAAGGACTAGGCGGCTCTCATCAAGATTCGGAAATTTTGGGAATATCTTCAGGAATATGACATTGCTGACAAAAAAGCTGAAGGTATGAGGCAGTCTTGGGGGTCTCATTTCTGAGTGCGAATTCTCTTCGGTGCTTAGCAGCTTTGGGCATTAGTTATAGAACAAAAAAGCTCACCGCCAGATACGCGCTGCTTCTCTCACCTCTGTCTAAAGATAGCCACCAAAAGCTGCCTTCTGGACTTGGTGACTGGAGTTCTGTTGCTGGAGCCCTCGAATACCACTTGTCGCAAGGTATTCATACGCAAGAACTTGGAGTCGAAACCTTTTAACCGAGGAACGGAATAAGAGATGGGTCAGAGGTCGGGAGTGTCAGTTTTCCTGGCAGCGGCCTGAGTGTATCATGGCAGTTTTCCTGGCAGCGGCCTGAGTGTATCTTGAGGATAACATCTATCTTAGAAGCATTGATTTTAGAGCGAGCTTGATTTTGGCTGCAGTGACGCACAGGATGGCCTACTGGACGCGCTTCAAGGTCTCCAACACATTCTGGTCCTGAGTCACGATGAAAAACGTTGCCGTCAGCAACACACTAGACACTGGAGTGTGAATAATGACCCGAACGTAGCCAAAGGAATCACTGATATGACATACTACTCGTAGGGTCGCTGAAAACACTTTTACAACAATTTAATTAACGAGTGATTGTATTTCGCCAAAAGGCTTTTTCTTTGATGTTGAGTTCCTCATTCCTGGTCAGCTGGCACTGAATGGCTCACGAGTCAAGAACAGCGAGGTGAAATCAGTCCGTGACTGATAGAACGCCAACATTTGAGTCTTGTGTTAGCTCATTCAAACAAACAAAATCAACCTAAAATCGTTTGGCTTCACTAGAATTATTGACGTACGTGGACAGGAACTATACACAGCTTTAGATTCTCTAGTTATGCCACATTCAGGTATATCATGTGCCCCTCCGTTGACGTCTTTCCGTAACTGGATCAGTGTCTGCATTTCTATGAAATGTCACCCGGACTGACGATAAACTGCTACAATACCCACCCTCCAGTTACGTACGTCGTCTGCTGTGAAGCATCAACAATTTTCAAACGGTATTCAGGCGACACACTCACAACGAACGCACACAAGTCGCTGCATAACCGACACATATTTTTGTATTGGTTGAGTACAACTCACAAAGAGCTTCTTTATTGTCACTTGCATTCACTAAATGAACACAAACTAACCTACGTCGCTGTTCCGGATTTCGAGTCAGAGGCTAGGGGGTCCATGAACAAGATCCCGCATCCTTCCACTGCCTTGTGGGGGAGACTTTTGAGTCAAGGTGGGGTACCTCAGTTAAATCCCTCTCTGGCTTGGACAGTCGGAAAGCATCATTTGCCCCTGAAGCTTTTCGCTCACCAGCCTTCAGATATACCCCCTCACCCATCGGACGATGCAGTGTCATCAACCCATCTTCCAGTCCCTAACCAATGATCCGTTTCTAAACCGTCGCCCAGAACAATAAATCAAAATACTCACTCACTGATATCAGGATCTGATCCACGTTGAAGTCCTTGGGGTCCGTATTCTAAGTCAAATAGGGCATCTCTCGCTGAAACCTTGCTATCCCTGTTTATCGATGCATGTTGTGTTTCCGAAACATGCTTGCAAGACCCAACTTCGGTCGTGCACTTTAAGCAGATTAGGACGAGCTCAGATGTTCCACATTTCCCTTTTCTGATATTCGGTGATGCTGAAGCAATTGCTCGTGGTATCAACGGTGTGGGAGTTGCACTCAGCCCCAAAGCTGACAGCGCATCAGTATAATCCCCAACAGACTGAGAAGGACGGCGATAATAACAATAGCGGGTGATACGAATTGTTCAGATGTAGCAACCCTTCAGTACCTAACTGCCATGCGACCAGAGGGGGCGTGAGGGCTTAGAAACCGCCAGGTTGCCCAAGCTTAGACAGGAGAAGTCGAGTTTTAAACCACAGACCCTCCAGCCAGACCCTCGGCTCTAACCACTGACCCAAATTGGACGACTAGGTCCAGAAGAAGCACATTCAGGTGGTAGATTTTGTAGTCGATGCTCAGCGTACGGATAATGGTGAGGGACTGATTCAGTTGTGTGCTAATCGCCGTCTGTTCAGGGCCAGTACAAACTTCCAACACAAATGCTCACATCGAATTACTCGGACGCCACCAACTGCGATGGTCATGAACTCATGGCTCTCGGTTACCGATGGAGAGCTTCAATTAAAGATTGTCGTCCCTTGTGGGGTACGCAACTTGACTTGGATGATTTGCAGTTATTACCTTGCTTTCCGTCAGTATTACGGGTTCCAAAGCAGGGCTACTCCATTAGGCAACTTCGGCTATCGAACTGAACTGGCCTAGAAAGCCACTAGGAACGCAAAGTCAAGCAGATGACGAAGATTGCTTGGAGGTTGAATGGAGGCTGGTTAAAGGACCTGTGCTCTCAGATTTAGGAAATGTTTGTCCAAGCCACCTGATCAGACTACACGGACACTGGACAGCGTCGAGATCGGCAGATTTTGTTGCCGTAAGAAAGGCCATACCAGCAACTAGAGAGCATGATGGCGCATGCGGCTCTCTCAAACACTGGATAATCAGGAACTTGAAGGACGGAGGACGCTGGTGGATTTCCAAGGCCGAGGAAATGGGGAAGGCCTTGCTGCAGGTAACAGCTGCGATCCATTTCAGCTGATTCGATCGACCGGTCAAAAGAAGACAAGTGTCAACCAAACCATACGTGAAAAGGAAGGAACAGCAATGCACTCGCAAACTCGTTTTGAGCAATCGGCTGAACACTTCAAAGGACAGTTCGGCCAGTCTCCTCCAGAGAAATCGTCCAGCTGTAGCACCCTTTTGGTGCCTAGCTGCCACAACAATGGAAGGAGGCACGAGGGCTGGGATACTGCCAGTTTGCCCAACTCTAGGGAGGAGCAGTCAAAGGTAAGAACCACGGACCCTCCATTATGTAAGCTGGCATCTTAAATCCTAGGCTAGTTCGAGCTCGGTCTCCTTCAATCCAAACTCTGAAGAACCCAGCGGGCTCGAATGGAACATTGATACCACTCGGCCATCCAGCGTGTGATATCAATTCTCCAACGCGAGAAAGCGCCTGGCCCAGATGGTCTGCAGGCCTCACTCTTCAAAGGTGGTGAAGTCCCGGTAAATAGCTTGACAACCATACTGCAGAAGGTTTGGAACGAAAACAGAATACCAGTCGAATGGAGCTCCTCGATCGTCATCTCAGTCTTGAGAAATAGAGCAAGAAGGTCGTCGTGACATCAGTCTGGTGTCCGTCGCATCTAAGGCGCTACCTGACATTATTTCGCGCAGCTTGACGCATTANCAGATTAGGACGAGCTCAGATGTTCCACACTTCCCTTTTCTGATATTCGGTGATGCTGGAACAGTTGCTCGTGGTATCAACGGTGTGGGAATTACACTCAGCCCCAAAGCTGACAGCGTATCAGTATAATCCCCAGCATACTGAGGACGGCGATAATAAACATAGAGGGTGATACGAATTTTTCAGATGTAGCAACCTTTCGGTGCCTGACTACCATGCGACCAGAGGTGGCACGAGGGCTGGGAAACCGCCGGGTTGCTCAAGCCTAGACAGGGGAAGTCGAGGGACGGAGGTCGCGTGCGAACCACGAAAGGCAAGACTGCCCTACCCGCCAATCAACGTGGTAATTAAATTTGTTTACCTGGGCACTTATATCAGTACCGCTGTATTGGCCAGAGACAAAATCACTTCTCCACTCGGGAAGACCAGGGAGGCTTCTACCGATGGCTCCGGCGCGACTTCAGGTTGTCTGTTAAGGACAAAAAATATACTACGGTGGTGTGATACATACCGATTTATGGATCAGAAAATCGGCTTTTAAGCACAGTGCTCGACCCTCGGTGTCTCCCAAGCATTGGTTGGGACATCGGATTAGCGCTTCAGAGGAAAGCCAGACAGTTTTAGGAAAAGATACTCACCGGTGATAGACGAGCCACTGACGCTCCACAGGTTGAGCAGGTTTCATCATGCATTTCATATTGCACAAGACCATCTGCCCCACAGAGCTCTTTTTGTCCTGCTCTATACCAAGTGGTGGACACTGTACGACCGGTCAACGAAGTAGACACACTCGAGTTGATAACTGCCCCCTACCTGGATGGGGGCATCGCGACCCAACTCACCAATGGTCGATACCACTGGTAGATATGGCTCAGACAGTCAGTGGCGTTCCTACATCAATGTTATCGCCTTCAATGCGTATCTGTCAAGTTCCTGTTCTCGTATGCGAACTAACTGACCGTGCCATCGCCTCCAACGCTCGGCTATATCACCCATGCTATCCCATTTTCCGATGACCGGAACTGCGGCAGCTGGAACCAACTTGGCCTTGCTACATGGCTTACAGCTGGCAAAGCTGAACAGAAGGGGGGGTCACGCTTGACGAAGTGATGCTTTCTAACAAGAGGCGAATTTGAGTTTAACTTCCCCCCTCTCTGGAGCAGACTAGACGAGAAATCACGCCAGGGAATGGCATTGAATGAAACTATGAAGAACGAGTTCTTTACGAATAAAAAATTAATGGGTGAGAAGCCGGTAGTACTTCCCGCTGTCTGCTGGGTTCAAGCAATCTATTTATCACTTGCTACACCTGGTTACCAACGTTGTGAGAACTGTCATTCCTCTCCAACTAGGTGGGACACCATAAACCAATCGATATGGATGACATATTGCAATGGGACGACATGGCTCAGTGCTTACTGGTTCGAACCCTGCCTCTGCATCTCGACTTCCCCTGTCTAGGCTTGGGAAACCTGGGAGTATTCCAGCCCTCGTGCTTCCTTCGGGTGTTACAGCTGAACGATTTACTTTATTGTTTCATTTTACATTGTAATAAACCTTCCAAAGAATGAGGTAACCAGAGAAACGATAGTGCGAAATATGCATAAGGTAGACAAATGTTTATTTGCCAAAACACGATCGAGTTAAAACGCAAACGATCAACACACAATCGTCGTTCGACAATGAAAGACTGTTTAGTTATTTCACCGGGAAAGAGGTTACTACTCAACGACGGTCAGGACGAGCTGCGTAAGGGTGAACCGCTCCCCTGTCAGCAGCAACAACCGTGGGCGGGGGCTGAGTGAATGAAGACGTGGGACGTTGAGTAACCGACTGTTGCGGCATAGGCGCTCCGTGACCGTAGGGATAACTCGTTCGCGGACGCTTTGCAGCCAGATCGGTACCGGCGTTCGGGAGAGATGACGGCGGCATATTGGTAAATGTGGTTGAACTGGTACTAGGAGTTGACGTGGACACCGCACCGTATCGGTTAGATTCTGCGGTTGACTCTTGAACACTCCCATCGGCCGGATACAAATCCAGGATTTTGTGGCATATATCTTCCATGACCTAGAAGGACGTTGGAGAAGGTAATTGTGAACTCACCAAAAAACGGAAGCTGCGGAAATGGATGAATGATCATAAAAATCCAAGTGCGAATTTAACAACCCCAGGTCTCACACATGGTTACATCATTGACGCATGTCGAACGAAAGAATGAGATAAATTCTCGGGACAAACGAAGGCGATCTGTCAAACCGCTGTCCTCCCACCACCAGTCGTCGCCTGTCTTTTGCAAACCGGACGGTGAGTGACTTCAAAAGGTGGCCCTCAACTAAGGTACCTAGGAGACTGGCGACACTGTGAGATCGCCGCCGATAGAGGGCAGCCGGATCCGGAATATATACTTGCAGGCGGCTACATCCCTCGTAGGGAATCGACCGCATTAGGTAAGTAAGAATGCCGTTAGCCAAATCAATGCTACTCTACACCTTTCCAGCTACCATTGAAGAGGGTAAGCAATATCTACTTCAATTCGACCTACGAAAAGCATTCTGGCACGAAGTGATATGCATGCAGCACAGGGAACTGCCTTTACTACCGGTTAAACCGACTTTCCATGTCTTGCAATCCTAGTTTACTACAGCAAATCACCGACGTACGTCCAAACAGGTGCTTCCTTACCATCTTAGGCAAATGCAATCCACTCTATTTTGCTATCTCCCGAAAATCACCGTGACGAGAACCTAAACTGCTTAATTCACTGCCCTTATTTGTGGAGTACCAACCATGATTCTACACAAAATGCAGCCGGCCATGCTTCAGCCTTCGTAAATTTTTGCTGGTGGTAGCAGCTATCGGAGGAGTGGACACATTTGTTATTTTATTGATGGAACACACTACTCAAAAAGTTGCTGAGAACTCTTCAGCAACCGACGGCCGGCTTCAGCCTTCTTGGGGCTCATCGGGCACATTAGTTCAAATCCTAGCAAGGAAATCGGACGGGCTATTCAGCACGGGGCAGAAACTTTCCAGCTAAGAGAAAACGGTTAAATGATTCCTCAGACAAGAGCGCACTTTCTTCTGGTTCCGATTTCTAGAGGAAGAACCATGCCGTTTTCGGAGAAGTTTGGTGACAATCGGTTGATTTATTGCTGGGCAACGTTTCGTTTTTGACACAAATGCTTCGTCAGGCCAAGTGACTAGGTTCCGAGGTTGATCGAGATTTAAGGCGGAAGGAGAACCAATCAGCCAATTCAGGCTAAATCTCTGTTGGGTGTCGGCCGAGGGATTTTAGTATGTTAGAGTGGTTGAACAAGTGTTGGGTCGGTGGGTGTTTGGGTCCAGCCTAGGGTTTTCTTCTGGTTCGGTTCATTTGATGGTCCCTCTTGAACCTCGTTTGAACCTTCTGTCCGTCTGTGGATGGGCTAGTGCTAAGATACTTGTGTAAGAGGGATGCTGTGACCTTTGATCGGGTTGGGATTTCCACCCCCCATCCCCCGGTTTTTTTCTAATGTGCCTAAGTGGATTGAAAACCACACAGCCATGTGTCAACTCGGCTTATCTAAGACCGCTTTCCATACGCTCGCTAGCTCCGCACCCTCGATTCTATTCACTCTATGATGCTCAGTGATTTCCACCACCTCGACTATCAGCCGCTGTGGTGTGAATCGCAGTCCCCGTCTTAAAACTTCCACATTCTCCAGATCTATTCTATTTCCCGTGTCTAAGGCATGTACCGCCATCGCTGAGTCGTTGATCATCGTTTGGTATTCTTTTGCATTCCTTGGTGGTTTGTTAATCCTTCTTTTATGCTCATCAATTCTGGTGTGCAATTTCCTGGCAATTTGTCCTATATAAACAGCGCAATCGTTGCAGTTAGTTTTATACACACAGTCCCTAGTCCTTTTTACTGGCAGGGGATCTCTCAATTGCACCAAAACTGAGTGTGTACATAAAATTAACTGCGACGATTGCACTAAGGTTAACATAGGACAAACTGCCAGGGAATCGCACACCAGAATTGGTAGACATAAAAGGAGGATAAGCAAACCACCGAAGAATGTGGAAGAGTACCAAAAGCTGGCCAGCGACTCAGCAATGGCGGTACATGTGTTAGACACAGGACAGAATAGATCTGGGGAACGTTGAAGTTTTAAGACGGGGACTGCGATTCACACAACAGCAGGTGATAGCCGAGGCGGTGGNACTTAATGTGTGGGTATAAACTATTGAGAGAGTCGTGGAAGCTGTCTACGTTATCTCGTTTGATTACAACAAACGTGTCGTCAACATAACGCCAAAAAACATTGTAAATATTGGCTAAAACTGAGGATATTGGAGATCCCATTGCAAGGCCTTGTTCTTGTGAGTAAACAGTTGTGTCAAAAACAAACTGGGCAAGATTCAAACACACTCTTACGCCCTCAACTATTTCATCCACCGAGAGTTGTGTTCGTTCCCCGAGTGTCGCGTCTGCCGATTTGAAAAAGAGATCTGCACAAATGATGCATCACGGTGGACCATTCTGGTCACTCTAATGGCCCGCATATGAACAACTTGGTCTAAATGGGCCATAACAAGCCTGATGGCACTGACCGTGCATTGGTTTCAACACGACTGCAGAACTATTTATGCATGGTTGCCCCCCTCTCTCTGTAGTTCCACGTGCGCTCGCGCCTAGTGTCCCACACTGATACTTCGCTGTCGTACAACCATGATTCATCTGGAACCTTATTTTGACAATAAGAGTGGATGGAGAGGGGACTTAGTGATAGCATACTACAATCATTCCGGGGTGGTAGAAATCGACAACAATAAGGCCAGTAACATCGATTAGCAGCCACATATTACAGCGCCTCCAACCAGGCACAGGTGGGATCACGCAGTCTTCACTCTGGCATCAACAGCATCCGGACTTTTCGTAATCTGTTTCAAAGACTGGCCACATCGCTGTTTTCGCCACTCTGAATTGAGTAAGAAAAAGAGCATTCTCTTCAGCAAACGATGATTAAGCATGCTCAATACATGGCCTAACCAACACGGCTTCGGTACAAGACACATTTTCGATGGAAGTTCCTGTTGTACAACTGAACGCTCGTTTTCCAATTACCTCGTTAAGGATTCGCTGACATCAATTTACACGATCTATGGTTCTGGGACAACGGCTGTCGGACGCCTGAAGATGTCTCAGTTCCGAACAGCCCAAGTTTCACAGTCACATAACAAAACAGCCCACACTGTGGCCTCATACACATGGCCCTTTGAAGTGAGATTTGTCTCAAATTAGCCTTGGAGATTCATACTACAGTCGAAATCAAAACAAATTCCAAGGTACGTAAAACGCTCCACAGTCGCAAGCGCCTCTTCGTGGATTCTAAGTGACGTGTTCAGCGACCGAATGTCAAGAAGCATGACCTTACACATTGTGGATGCAAAATGCCCAGAAAAGGACAGGAGGACATAGGTCAGTTCATCCAAAAACTCCTGCGCTTTCTCCTCCTTTTCAAAGACAAGATCGATGTCATCTGCATATTCTAGATTCACAAAGTTTCCGTCAGAGGCCATTTGAACACCAAGGTTTTGAAGACCTTGAAGTGCCCGTCTCATTATCTCATCGATCGCGAAATTAAGCAGGAAGGGGGAGAGTCGGCACTCTTGACGGACACTGCTTTGCGAACGGGAGACCTCGGAGAGCTCTCCGTAAGCTGTCACGGCCGGAATTCTGAGAATACGCGTTCAGCTGTAGCACCCTTCCAGTGCCTAGCTGCTATGGCACCCGAAGATTGTACGAGGGCTGGGATACTGCCCGGTTGCCCAAGCCTAGACAGGGGAAGTCGAGAGACGCAGGTCGGGTTCGAACCACGGACCTTCCGGTCAGTAAATTCGCGCGCTAACCACTTGGGCCATCTCACCCTGAGAATACAAAGAACTTATCATGTTAACAAACTATCAGGACTAACCACTTGGGCCATCTCGCCCTGAGAATACAAAGAACCTATCATGTTAACAAACTATCAGGGCACTCCTTGATGGGTATGTGTATCACGAGGAGAAAAGACCGGTCAACTGAATCGAATGCGCCTTGGAAATCCTGGAATACTAAAACTATGGGTCATTAACGTATGGCGTTAATATAGTGCATGACGGAGTGTGAACAGTTGGTCAACGCAACCCCTAACAGGCCAGAATCCCGCTTGCTGCACTCGAGCCAGTGTTTCACGAGGCACCATGAAGCGATGAAGCACAAGTGACGGAAACAGTCTCGTTACGACCGGGGTCAAGCTGGTCCTCTTGTGATCATCGCTCCTTCTAGAAAATGGGCACAACCATCGACTTCCACGGTGTCTGGGACAGACTCCTTTTCCCAAATGCAAGCAAACAGATCACACAAGCGCCGACTAAGGACTTCACACCCCATCTTTGAACAATGCGGGTGGGAGGTCATTCGGACCAGGAGCTCAGTGGCGTTTGAGAGAACACTTGCAATCATAAACCTCCGAGGCAGTAGGGAGTTCCACGTCCGTGGTTCTATGTCAGCTATGGGCTCCAGATTAGTCACGGTTGGTGGCCATAACAACTGATTTTCGAGGTATTCGGCCTAGCGATCGAGGTGTTATTTATTCAACCTGGCTCTCTATTCTTACCTTTGATGGTTCCACTCACCGGTCACAGGGATCTTCGGGCATCTCCGGCTTTCAGGGCCTCTGCTATTTCTATGAATTTCCGTCTCTACCAGACTTCACGGTCAGATCGCACGCTCACTTTCATTTGACGCCTGACAGGTCGTCGGGCCAAGTTATGATCGAGAGTTAAGCAGTGCCACTGTTCGATCTGGTATCCCAGTGCTTGAGTGGGTCTGCTAGCGGGGCGAGATGGCCCCAAATGGCCACAGCGCGAATTCACTGACCGGAAGGTCCGCGGTTCGAACCCGACCTGTGCCTCTCGACTTCCTTTGTCTAGGTTTGCGCAACCTGGTAGTATCCCAGCCCTCGTGCAACCTTCGGGTGTCATGGCAGCTAGGCACGGAAAGGGTGCTACAGCTAGACGATTTTTTTAGCGCAGCG